TCCGAATCGGAAGTCTGGTAATACCACCAATAGATAGAGCATCCCTGATTAGGCCATTCTGAGCTTGGCTTCATGAAGTAAAAGTGGCAAGTCACATTTCTCAAGTATGTGAGAAAATAAATATACTATATATTGTAGATACAATCCCATTCTTGACACAAAGATGTAAGAATTTGAATTACATGAATTTTTTTTTCATTTTCGGTTGACTTTTTCTCGAATTTTCCCATGCTAACTTTCGTGTTTGCATTTTCTGCAAGTAGCAACCCCAAGTTTTCATGGACATCTTATTCATGTATGCAGCGTCAACATTTGATTTGCAAAGTCAGAAATAGTAGCAAAAAATAAATTAAATGACTTGTTTTCCTTACAACTATGCAATCATTGTCATTTATTTGTACTTTTAATGTACATAGTAATGTATGTATGTGTGCATGTGTATAGCATATGCATATATGTACATACGTACAAGTGCATATTTATTTTTTCTCTCTCGGCTAGTGATTTGATTGCAATGCATAACTGCATATTTGCATGCGACAAATTGATTGCGAGATTGATGAGCAGACGACATTGCTTCCCGTGCATTCATGAATAATGAATGCTGGGATTTACTATGCCATTTCCACTAAAGAATTTACATACATACATGTTTACCATTTCGCCACCAATCTAATTCCAAAGCATACTTACAGGGGATTTTATCCGAAAATATGGAAAACTTAAAAAAAAAATTATTTGCAGCGTTAAAAAGAATTGTTTGGAATATTGAGGCTTATTCTTGTTTTCGTACGAATCGAAAATCATGACATTTTCTTATCATTTTCTATACAAAAATACGCCTCATTGTATAAAGACTTTCTATGTATATTAAGGTAAAGATATACATACAATTATGTATGCATGTAGATGAAAATAGCTAAGAGTTGAAATATATTAGGTGTATTCTCGGAGTCTTCCAAAGTCCTTTCAAAGTGCACGGACTGCACGGAAAGCACGGTTTTCCTATGGGACAGGTTTGCAAACAGTGCAATCCCTTCACCGTGCAAGGGCTTTGCAAGACTGCGAGATTACCCCTATTTATTTTTGCGAAATGTCGTTGTGATAAGCATATGGAGGAATGCGATACAGCCTTCAAGAGCGTATCAATTCGAAATCCCACGTTTATGAGAAAACGTGAAATACCATTTTTAAGAACGGGTTGAGTACAAAATTATTATGGTTCAAAATTCCGTATCTAAAATTTTGCAATCAAAATTCTGTATTTAAAACTGTGTATAGCAAAATTCTCCATTTTAATATTCCGTATTGCCAAAGAAAGAGTGCGCACAAGTGGTTTTCCGCTTTTTCCATATAGAATTTTCTAAAGCAAAAATTTGTTCTTTTAGTTACGTCTACTAAATATGTTTCTCTCAATACATGATATGGTTATAGTTACGTTATTTGGTTATAGTTACCAAATCTTGTATTGGGCGAAATATATTTAGCTACTTTTTTCTGAGTGTAGATTTTCCGTAAAGCAAATATATACATATATGTATGCATACATATCTAGTTTATATTAAGGTAATACATTAAATTATAACTAAATAATGTTATTAGAAATCAGCCAACAATATGTGCTTCGCTTTACAAATATGAATGTTCAAAAACCTGATTTTGTACCAACTATAAAATCTCTGAGTACTGCAATGATTTTTATCACAAATACTCTTGAAGGCGCAGGTGCCAAAAAAATTTTGCTTATGGTTTGAAAAAAAAAATCATATTTGGAGGCAAATCACTGTATTTAATATGTAACACTTTTGTTTCTAGGAATTTACATTTCGGATATATAGCGATTCAAACAGGCTTAGCACACTACCTCACAATTACTGTGGAAATTGTGCACACAGCGTATAGAATACCTAAAATTGTATGGGCTATAAAACTGAACGCCCAAAAATGTTCTAAAGATTCAAATTAAATTCTTTGAATTTTTGATGAACATTTTTTGAATTTTCCTAAATTTTGCATCGACTTTGAGACTTTGGTTTGTATGAGTTTGGTTGAAGCTTGGACAATACTTTTATATTAAAATAATTAAAAAAAAAAATCACTTGAATGGCATCGTGAATATTATAAAAAAAAATCAACACGTGGTCACTTTTTTGAGTCAGTGTATTTACTTTATTAATATTTTTTCGTGTCGGCCACTGTGGCTGAGCTGTAGGAGGTGCGTACTAATACTCCGTAGTACCATAGTAGCTGGCAGTAGTAAATTAGAAAAAGGTTTTGACATCAATAACCAATTGGTAACTTGTTATTTTAAATAACATAAATATGACTTTCAAATATTGCAGCAATGCAGTAGTAATAATTAGTTACTACTCAAAATAAAACGAGAAAATAAAAATGTATATTGTGCCATACACTTTTTTTTATAAAATATAATACTCTTACTTCATTATAATAAATCACCAGCAAGCCTGAGAGCAGAGAGTATACATTTCAATCTATGCATAAATTGCCGGTGTAACAGCAACCAGATACCGTCGTGTGCGCGCTTTGCGGCTTTCTCTGCAACTAGACAAATCAGCTTTGTTTCTGCAAATGGTCAACCGTCTGCCATGCTGATGGTTTGTCACTTCTATGTACTCCCTGCCCCAAGCCATTATCCTTCGGTTTGTCTTTTAAGTCATCTGCATACTTACTGTTACAACGGTTATGTTACCGTTTACTCCGCTTCTGGCTACACTACCAACTGCTGTCCCACCAATTGGTTGTTTTGTCAGTAACCAGTAACCACAAACAAAGTATGTCAGCTGCATTTATTTTGCATTATTTGCCATTCATTTATTCATTCATAACTATTTTTTTTTTTTACATTTCGTAACATTCATTCATACATATGTACATGCATATTATGTACATATCGCTGAAGCAAGGCGTACAACTGCTGCTGCAGGAAAAATAAAATACGAGTACATTATATATTTACTTGCCAATTCATGTGTACATATACAAGTTTGTCATTTCCCCCAAGTCTTCTTATTTTTCATGCAAATTTCGATTTGCGCAGCAACCCATCCTTTTGGTCCGTACGTACGAACGCACGTATGTAAATATGAATGTTTGTAGAGTGCAAAAGTCCTTATTGCAGTGTTACGTTGCGCAGCGCATTTTTCATTCATTCACACTACTAGTCACTCATCACTCGTGAATTTAGTGTGAATTTTTATACATGTATATAAGAAAAACTTAATAGCGCTCTATGTACATACCAGGGAAGCCAACTCGTGGGGAATGCCCCGATTTGCGAGTAATTTCAGTTTGCGTGGGGAGTCGGGGAATGGGCCGTTTTTTTTTGTGGGGAATTTCAGCTCGTTCAATTCTAGTATAATAAAGTTTCAAATGGCCAAAAATGACCGCTGATTTTTTAGATTTTTTATTTATCGCCTTTGCTTTCATATAACGAATAAACATAATTTACCGCAAAAACTTCGTCAAAAAATTCTAAAACGAAAATTTTTAGACACTTGAAACTTGCAAGTTTTATAATAGAATTGAGCGGGCTGCAAAACGGCGTCAAAATATTTATAGAAATTTTTAGGAAAGTTTGTTGAATATTTTTCAAATATTGCACAACGTTTCAAGCTTGGATTTATACGGTATTTGTTAAAGTATGAACTATATTTATTTAAAAAAATAATAACTAACAAAATAAAAATAATTGGTGCGACTAAAATTTTTTCGACCACTGAACGTACGTAAATTTTATATAAACCTTTTGTATTATTTATTTGTTAACTAACTTTATAAAAGTTGGATTTGGTTTATGAATACATAGATGAATTACATTTAAAAATAAAATAAACAGAAAGACCAGCAATATATAAAAATAAATTTTTGTGTGTTTTTTTTTTAATAATATCTATGGGCGAGGAATTTACGAAATTTCGAGCAAAATCGGGGAATTTCATTGTCGAAATCGGGGAATTCTCAAAAATGAGTTGGCTACCCTGGTACATACTTACGTATATGTGTATGTAACACAAGTTTAACTAACCTCTTTTTTTATATACTCAATAGGGATGTTAATTTTTTTGACTTTTTAAAATCCCGGGATCTTCGGGATATCGTTATTATAATCCCGGGATCCCGGGATTTAGATTGCATTACTTTTCAACAACTTAAATCGAAAATATTGCTTCTAAATTGTTTGAGAAGCTCTCCTAACATAAAATAAATAACAAATAAATGGGTTTGAAGCATACTTTTAATTTAAAGTGGCATTTTTGTTTTTTCTGTTTGACGTCAGGATTTATTTTAAAGGACTTTGAAATATCAAAGATATGATTAATTCCAAAAATTATTTTAAAAATTCAATGCATTGTTAAATAAAAATATGGATACCAAATTAAAGAAAGGAAAGGAGGAAGGAAATTTCTTTAGAATTAAAATACATTGAAATTTTTTGGATTCACAAGAAAAAATAGGAAATTTTTTAAGCTGATTTGGTTAGAAGGACAAAATTCGAGGATGTTATCGAGTTTATATAAGTCCTTAACATATAATTTTTCAAAAACAAATATTGCGAAATTTCAAGGAAAAAATTTTAAAAGGACATTTTCCATACTACCAGTCCATCTGCACAAAAAAATTGATCTGATTAAATTCTACAGAATTTCCTCTTAAACTTGATACCCGTACTTCTTCCCTAAGCTCATTTCACTGAATTGTTTGAATCATTTTGGAATTACTTTCGTCAAGGTCAAAAACTAAAAATGCAATTTTACAATATTTGGCCCATGGTTTCACGAATATATTGATTTTTGTGTGGGAAATTCTCTATCGAACTAGACATTTATGAAAAAATATTCATTATTAAATAAAAAAATAAATACATATAGCCAATATTGGTAAAGAAAAGGAGTTTCTATTATTACCATCAGTGCAACCTAAAAAAGCCAGGGATCCCGGGACTAACTTTCCTAATACTCAAGCATACACATAACTACATGCGTAGGTATTTATATATTTTTCATGCATACATACTACATAGCTTATAAAACGCCTGGCACTCATTTTAATTCTTTGCATACTTTTCCTTCTCTGATTGCAGTGCACTCTTTGCCCCACTTAACGGTGCTTAGCCTATCCGGTTGCAGTAAACTTACTGATGATGGCGTTGAATTGATTGCCGAGAATCTACAAAAGTTACGTGCCCTCGATTTGTCTTGGTGTCCGCGCATCACTGACGCATCGCTGGAGTATATAGCCTGTGATCTGAATCAGCTGGAAGAGCTGACGTTGGATAGGTAAGTTTCAAAAACGTTACAGCCGGCTGTAAGGAGTAGGATAGGATGGCGAAAATAAAGGAAAAAATCAATACCCAACGAAAAAATGTCAATGGTTGTTGTGTGCACATACTATAGGTGCATTCGCGTTAATAACTATCAAAAACTATCAGGTTTTGCTGTTCTCGTACACAAAAATCCAGCAAAGTAGGGGAAATTGAGAGACCAAAATGACATTTTATTTTGGTGCGAAGTTGCAGAAACAAGCAAGTGAGTACAACTTGCTTAGTCTCAAAAGCTACCCATACCGCCTAAAGTCTACACGTGGCCAGAAGAATTTTGCCATCTTGCATCCCAAGGTCTTCGCCCAGCGCTTACTGAGTTGACTTAACGTCCATCTGTCAAGAAGCAGACCACATGGGGTCAGGGAAACTCCCAGCTCTGTCTTGCCAGCTCATCGGACATGCAGCTTCCAGAGATTTCGCTGTGATCTGAAACCCGAATAAACTTCATAACAAAGTAATCCGATGGGGTCGATAAGGAAGTCAAACTCGTTCTCGAACGCAGCGTCAAGGAGCCAAGAGCCTTAATAGCTGCTTGGCTGTAAGAATAAATATCCACCTGCTTAAATAAAAGGTGTCACACTAGATAGCAACCAATCCGAAACCTGTTTTGTTACGACCACCTCTGCCTGGAAGACTCTGCGGTGATCCGGATCAGTTTCGATCCATCTGTAGATAACTTTACGGGACCCCGATTCCAGATACTGCACCTCTCGAAGTCCACTCGCGCCAAGCATTTTGGCTGTACGGATTGGTGCGGCAATCCACTATGGAGTGCAAGTGTACACATAGATAGGTTTTCATGTCTGTTTCCCTTCCAAGCGGGCATGTGTATGTGATTCCTGGCCACCGCGTAATAGCTTGTGCTAGTCACAGTAGTTTTGTACGGATTCACGAAGCAGAAGCTCCGGGCCAGACCAGTGTCACTGCCTAGCTAGCCGTAAGATGAACCGTTTCTTGCTGGTCATCAGCACAGCAGTTGAGTGGTGAGCTGCGGGGTTCAAAATTAAGTTGCACACCCTGGGCAATGTGAGCGACCCATGTGCGGCATACGGTACCCACTGCGTAGAAGCGATGGAGGAATAGTGGGGCCACTACGACGAATTCGAGGTCAATTTTGCCTGTTCACCATGAGGTTCCGCTGTAGGCGAAATTTTAAAGGATTGTGATTTGAGGATATGCAGCTGGAATGTGCGAACCGTAGTTCGCTGCTGATGTGCTGGAGTTCGCTGCCAGAAATTGGATTCCAAACGTTGGAGCGTGCCTGTTTTCACATGTGTCACTTATGCTCGCCGACACTACCCAGCCTATAAATATTTGCCTTAAAAACTCCAACGGAGAATTTTCCACTCCTAGTTGCCTCAGTGCACATTTTATGGGTCTCAAATATTATATTACTTAAAGCTTAATGAATTTTTAAAATATCTATAGAAAACAATAGTACTTGAAGCTGAGCGGCTGTTCGTTGTATGTGACCAGGCTTTGAAGCGCGATCTCTATAGATTTCTTCCAGCAAATGTGCGATACGTAGGCGTATAAATGAGTACAAATCAGTAAAAATTTTCAATCATCTTTATTTCGTTTTGTATTCCTTTTCGAACTATACATTTCACAAATCCTCTCCTCTTTTCCAGGTGCGTGCACATCACCGATATCGGTGTCGGCTACATCTCAACAATGCTCTCACTAACCGCACTCTTTCTGCGCTGGTGCTCACAAGTACGCGACTTTGGTCTACAACACCTATGCTCAATGCGTAATCTACAAGTACTCTCACTAGCCGGCTGTCCACTACTCACCTCCTCAGGTCTGTCAAGTCTCATACAATTGCGTCATTTGCAAGAACTCGAATTGACCAATTGTCCGGGGGCATCACATGAATTGTTCGATTACTTGAAAGAGCATTTGCCACGCTGCTTAATCATTGAATAATACGCTTGCGGAACTACAACGAAGCTGCAAGCTATACAGAGTTTTGTGAAGGGAAAAGCAAAAATTGGAAGAGGAATTGTACTCCAACTTAAATAAATGCTAATGCAAATGATGAAAATGATACTTGTGATGTTGATGCTATTGCCAATGGAAACTAGCAAACAAATTTTGACGCTAAAGTTGGAACTTATGAAGCTATGTATTTACTAAAAACTTTAAAGGCTGCACTGAATACTCTAAATGCAAATAAATACATACGTATACAGTTAAAAAACAAAAAAAAAAGGCAGGAAAAAATGTAAAAATATATGCACCGAAAAAATTGGTTTGCATTTTTACAAGTGAATAAATAAAAAACTCTATGAATCTTTAGCTACTACGAGCATCATAACATTAAAACTCTAACAACATATTAGTTTTATTATTTTTACAAAAAATGCAAAACGAATTTTTTATTCAGAAAAAGCGTGCGTTTGCTCGTATCTAATAGTACACATATATTCTTTCTTCAATTTCCTAAAACGTAGTTTACTATTTCTACAACTAAACTCAGTAAACACAAAACCAAAAACAAAGTTTGTGTTAAACTTAATAGTAAAACTTACTTTAAAAATATAATGTTTATAATACTGCTAAAGAATGGCAATGTTCCTCAAGCTAAAGCAAAACATGTATGTACTATGTATAAAAAATATTCTAAGAACGTTATTCAACAAATTTGTCACTTTGAAATTCATAGTTTAAGCACTTTTTAGTACTCGTACTCGTATTTAGCGAATTTTTGCTACTAGATAGTGATTTTAGAACATCTTATTGCTATTATTGTTGCGAGTAAAAAAGTCCTCGAAATTTTGATTTTGCGGTTTCATGTAAATCAGAATTAAAATAGGTTTACAAATAATTCTTGGTTACACTGTATCTGTAGCTGCGGGCTATGGGCAATTTGTATTTTGAAACGCAGGTAACTTTGTCTAACACAGCGACTGAAAATAATCGTCATTATGCAAATCGTAATTTTTTATTTATATTTGCACGATCATTTTTAATCGTTATTTTATGATTTATATTTTTTCGATCAAAAATAATCGTTGTTCTTGGATTTTTATTTTGCGGACCACTTTTAAGCGTTATTTTCTGATTTTTTTTCGATCATATTAAAACCGTTATTTTCAGATGCAATTGTTTAGATCCTAAAAGATTTAAACCGGTTAGAGAAACGCAGTCTCTATTACAATGGTTAAAAATTATCGAAAAAAATAAAAATCCAAAATACGGATTATTTGTGATCGAAAAAATTTAAATCACACAATAACGAATAGAGATGATCGAACAAATAAAAATCATAAAATTACGATTAAAGATGATCGAACAAATAAAAACCGCAAAATAACGATTATTCAATAAATAGTTCGCCAAGTTATACATACGTATTTAAAACACTGCACTGTGATCAAAGCGCCTGTTTTTCTTGCCAAAACTAATCTTATCTTAGAAACTTTGGACAGGTGTGGTAAGGTTGAAGAAAAAAATGTATATCTTGTGAGCTTATGTCACCATATCTTGTGCTGCGATTTCTGAAAAAAACGGTTATTTTCGTAGGCTTTCTTCGTAGTATTTTCCGTTCGCAGAGGTGAAGTCAATAAAGGTAGGAAACAAAAGGCTTGTTAAAATGTTGCTGCACGAGTTGCTCATTTTAACGCAAGTTAAGAAATTCAGACTTCTTTGAAATCAGTATAATTTGGCATCATTTTTCAATAATTTCCACCGGAGCAAGTGAAAAATTTTTCCTTCTTACGAATATTATAAAAAAATCCACTCGAACTGTTTTATTAAAACTACAAATTGAAAATTTAGCCCCTTTAGACCCCTTAAATATTTTTTTTTTTTTACAAAAATGTGGGACATCATATGCTAATCAATAAAAAAAACTCGTGTTTTTTAAATCAACTACTTATTTATTTAGTCGTGATTAGTTTCGGCCAGAAAAAGAGGCATTCAGACCATGGTGCATTACAGGTACACCTCCTCGGTTATCCGGCTATTTGGTCATGGGGTTAAACATATTTTTATTAAGTTTGCGACAATAAAACACCTGAGGAATCATAATACATAATAAGTAATTAAAAATGATTTGCAAAATTCAAAAAATTATAATTTTTGAATATTTAATTAAAAATATCATGGCCAGGATTTTTTCAGCCAACCCAATCGCGAAATATTTGCTACCACATTAAATTTCATACAAAATAGATTTCATACATTAAACAGATGGGTGAAGGTCGTGCCCTATTCGGATCTTAGACTAGAGTTCTAAATGCAGCCTCGTTTGTAGAAGTAAATAAAAAATTATAAAAATCATTTAGTATTTGTTTAGTTTTCATTCGCTGTGTACCTCTTTCGACATTTTAGATCAAAAATATTTAAGTTTCCGCCGTAGGCACGCTCAATAAGTTAGGCGAATTCGGTTTTTGATGTGTAAACATCTTTGCAAGATTCGCGCACACCAAGCCGAATTCAGAAGTAGCATAAATGAAAACGAAACTAATCAGCTGTTCCAGCAACACTGCCCGTTTGAGACTAGTTGGGGCTTAGTTCAGGATTTTTTCAAGGCTAGTTTGGAACTTTTTCGGGACTGGTTTGGGACTTTTTCGGGACCATTTCGAGCCCAGTTCGGAACAGGGATGTTTACACATCAAATTTCATGAGTACCTGGTACTAATGCCGTTTTTCTTTTATAGCGTCATTTTAAATACTGATGGTCATTTTAAATAGTGATATAGTATGTATGTAGACATCGGGTGTTTTTGAGTTATATTAATTCCTTTACAAGAATACTATGATATAAATATTTTTAGTGTGTATTTATTTATTAAATATTAATTCGCTGTGATTCAATGTTTTATTTTAGGTCCTATTTTATAGAAAATTGAAACTAAATAAATATTCATTGGCGATATATGTAGTACACGAAATTTTTTTTAAGCTGCATCTTAGCTTTTACGGCATTCAGTCCTTTTCAGGCTTTCTGTTTTCATTGCTGTTAAAGGAGTACAACTCTACAGCAAGCTTTTCAGATGTTGTGGCTTTTGGCCCCCAAGGTGTAATATAAAAACGCATAGAGCGCTGAATGCCTGAAAAGCTTGCTGTGAAATCGTACTCTCGGTTCTAGGTATTGGCGTAATGATCGGACATTTTTTAATTGTTTTAACGAGTACGAAAATAACTACTGCAATGCTTTCAAGCATATCGTCGGCTTAGTTCGCAAACGTGTTAAGTCCACTTTTTATGTAAATTGAGATTTTGATGCAGTAAGATAGCATAACTGAAAATACATTATTACCAAAAAAGAAAATTACCGTAATGTCGTTTTTACTTGTTGTTATGCATTGGTACGCAAATGTGCTAAGTCCGAAATAATCAAAAAAAAATATATACACACCTGTCCGTGTACACGATAGCTCGAGATATCTCAACGAAATTTGGTATGTAGGTTTCCATTTATCCAAGGTAAATTATTAAAAATGGGCGAATCGGAATGTAACCACGCCCATTTCCGATATAAAGGTATTTCCTAAAGATGCAAAAACTACGATATTTCAGTAAATATTGGATGCAAATTGTTCAAAATTAGTATGTGAAGTAGAATTTTTGTAAAAAATATTATTGTGCAATTTTTGGAAAATGGGCGTGACCCCGCCCACCTATTATGAAATGCTGTATCTCAGTAGCCCATTCACCAAACTCGGTACGAGCCTTATTTAGGGTCTAGCTAAGAAATCTGTTGAAAATCTAATTCACTTAAAATCGATGATCGCGATAACCACTAAGCAGAAAATTAGATTATGATACATTTTTGGATAATGGGCATGGCGCCGCCCACTTATGACCACAAATGTGTAACTCGGTAACCGATTTATCAATTTCTGCCAAACTCGATGCACTTAATAAACCTGGTACGGAAAAGCAATTCGTTGAAAATTATTCAAATCGGACAAAAATTACATTCGCTTCCCGTATATCTAACGGTAAATTTCACAAATACGGAAACTCTGATATTTCAATAACTGAAGACGCTAATTTAAGTTAATCTTACAACATTCTCTTAACAATAAATAAGACTGCGTGACACCGCCCACTTTATGACTACAAGGTGTATTTCAGTAGCCACTTTAGCGATTTCTACTAAACGTGGTTCAATTATTTCATTGAGTTTAACTCAGGATATTATCGAAAACGTTTGAAATCGGGAAAAAGCCCCTGCTTACGACAGTATTTGACACCAGCGCCGGGTAGATAAAGTTCGGTTTCGCCCAAACTTATACCTCTTTACTTGCTTCTAATTATTTTCTTTTATAAATGGTACATAAATTCACGACTTAAAATAGTTATTTTTGTTAATAGCAATGAAATAAAACTGTATTAGGTTATAATTCATTTTAAAACAATAAAATATATTTAAAATAAACAATTAAATCTTTTAACAATAAAAAATAATGGAAACAAGGTTGATAGACAATGTGCCAAGTCCACATTAAAAGAATATAATCTTAAAGAGAAAATGTGGTAAGTCCTAAAAGAGCCTATAAGTCTGCAACAGCTTTATTTCGAAATTGGCCGATTATTGGTACTAAAACAAGACGAACTAAGGAATAAAACTGCATTTACAGATTAGAAAAATATTGACAACTTTTTTTGTTGTTAGACGGTTTTTTGTCCCTCCTGAAAAATAAAAAAAATGGACTGAGCACGTTTGCGAACTAAGCCAACGATATGGAATTTCAACTTAAGTAATTTCTGTATGTAAATATATTTTTGTATAATCATTTTAACTTTAATTTAACTTTAAGTAAACTATAAACACTTATGTTCCCCAACAAAATCATACATCCGCCCACTTAGTTTATACGCGAGCAAATACATATGTACATATTTACTCAGCACCTATACAAACTACATAAGCAAAGAAATACATTAATACATATTTACAAATAAAAAATATTCAATACAATCAAATAAAAAACTAAAAAAGCAACCTTTAAGATTTGCATAGCATACATACATACATACATATGACATATGTACGTTAGGATGCCGCACCAAAAAATGTTGCGGGGTTTCCACCGTAGTTATAAAATTTACAAAATTATAGACTTTGGACAAAATATTTCGGGAAAATATTAAGTTTTACTTGAGCCGAACGAATACCTCTGAAAATCTCATTATTTTGATTCCATTCAAAAAATATTTGAAGATTTTTATGCAGACCTTATAGGCTTAAACC